AAAGAATTTACACAATTTCTTACACTGAATCACTCATCTCACCTTGCATGGACAACAACCATAAGTCTTTCAAAATAAACTTCAGAGTACATGAAAAAGATTTGGATACATCCACCATCTAGAGAGGAAAACAGAGGATGATGCCGGATAAACTGTAACTTTTCCACAGAGGAAAACAGAGTACATGGGATCAAGTGCTCTTATTTTTTACTGCTATTGCAGACGACTTGAACCAAGGAATCCACGCTGAAGTTGTCTTCTGATAAAGTTTACATGCTTCAGCTCTGTAGTCCTGCTTCAACATCCTCTCCTCCACAAGCACAGTGACATAAACTAAGCACATACTGTTGATCAGTGATCCAATGAAGGTCCAACCATGTCCAAGGTTCCATGCGAATAAAACCAGTCCCCACCACCACAGTTGCTCTCCAAAGTAGTTTGGATGACGTGAGTACTGCCACAACCCCCTCTCAAGATTAGCCGCTAGAGGCTTTCCAAGCTCGTTTAGCTTCTGGTTTCTAGCAACAAAATCATGCAGTTGGGTATCAGCAAAGTATGCAATGACAATGCCACACAAACAGACTGCAGCAGCAACAAAATCCGAAATGTTCAAGGGCTTATCGACCACGTGAACCGCATACAATGCGAGACAAACTCCTATCGAGAAAACCTGCAGAATTTAAGTAAGCCATTTAGTTACAAGAAAACGCATGTTTCTGTGTCCAATAAAACTTCTCTCTCCTATTTAAGTTGTCCTCAACGTGTTCAAATCAACACTTAGCAATGTACAAATCTGGTTCAGGCAATTCGTCGAACACTTGATCCAAATAAGAAAAATGGCCGATTTAACCATTAAAAGGATAAACCTTTACTATATAAACCAGCCGTTTAACTAACTAAATTACCTGCTGAGAAACGTAGACAGCAACGAAGGAAACCCACCACCATTGTTTTCCATATTGTCAGCTCATATCGGTGAACCTCCAGTCTTCCCTGGCACCCCACTGCCACCTCTCTCCCCGGAAATAGTTATGGATGAGCCTAATACTCCATACCCATGTCAGCAGTATCACTATCATGGATCTCCACGAGTTGTACTGCGCCAGAGGGTGCGTTGCATAATAATGAGCCAGCAAAACCAGGATCACAGTCCAATACAAATCTATCATCTGCAGCAAGCAAAACCAACCAACAACTAAGAAAAAAAAAAAAACTTTTAACCAAACAAAAAGTGAAAAAAGATAGAGATAGGACAGACCCAGTGGCTGGATTGGAAATGGCTGATGACCCAGAAGAGGACATTGACGTTAAAGAAGAAGAAGAGGTTGGCTCAAAGAAGGGGGTGGTGAAAACACCATGACCAGAGAGGGGAAGTAGAATTGCGATCAAAGTGGTTAAGGAAAGAGAGGTAGAAGAGGATTGAGGGAAGAGGAACCAGAATTCCAATCACTGCGTTCGTCAAGTTCCTGCCCATTTTCTTCTGATCTGAGTCATGCAGAGAAACACATAGCAAGCGGACCAGAAGCCATTTCACAACCCACAAAGAAAACCCCAAATTCATTCAACAAAAATGAAACTTTCAGAGATCAAGAGCAACATTACCTCAAATTTAGAGAGTGGAGTACCACTGATCTGGGTCTTATCAGGGGTGTCCATCACCTCTGCATATCTTACCCTCCAGTCTCCACCATTGACTCACACCTTTTCCTTATCTCTCCTTCTATATCAAACAAAACCCAAGTACCCCTTTACTTTATCCTCCTACTTTGGCCTATGTTGGCTGTGGATTTTTTTGAAGAAGCGGGAAAGCGGGAGTTGGGGATTTTCTCGTGGGGTGGAGCGAGGAGTGGGGATAGAGAGGAGCGGCCTACAATGAGCAAAGCATAAAGGAAAGCTCCGCAGCCACAGCTGTCTGTATTTGTGTAAGGGTAGCTGTTAACTTGTTACTACATTTGGAGAGGGGTGGTGCTATAACCACAATTTTTTTAAAAATTTTTTTATATAATTTTTATATATTATTAAATAAATAAATATATTTAATATTATACATTTTACATAAATTAAAAAAATTAATTACTTTACTTACATATCAAATTATAAAAAAATAAAATAAAATAATTATCCTAATAATATTTTTTTTAACAAATTTTACAAAGGCTGGATTCGAACCCAACCCTAAAAAGGAAGAATGCACAATGAGTGACTATTGTCACTTGACCCGAAGAGATCGGTGCCAATAGTATTTTCGTAGAGGTTTTGAATCATCAGTAATGTATTGGAATTGATTTACCTTTAAATAAAGTAACGTACAGTGCTTGATCCTCTTTTTACTGTTTATCAACTGAAATATTAACATTTTGTTAACTCTATTTTTATTCAAATTAATAATTTATCAGTTGATTATTATTTATTAATGAAATATTATCAATTAAATATTATAAGTTTACATTAAATAAAAATTATTTTTTTTAATTTATATAAATAAAATTAAGAAAAAAGTGACTATC